ATTAAATAAAACAGAATTAAAAATTTTATTTTGAAAAAATAATTTATTAATATTTATCTGATGTATCAAAATTTTCACAACAGATCATATTAATAAATATATATAAAAAGTTTTATATATTTTAAAATAATTTTTTATTAAATTATAGTAAATCTAAGAAATTAAGTTTTTTTATCACTGACTATATGTATAAACATTTATGAATGAAAATGTTGATTCATTAGGGACTATGAAGGATAATTTAAATGGACATTCATAGATCAGGTAAAGCTTGATTTAATAAAGTGGAAGATATCTGTGAGCTTTTTTTGGTGCTTCCGTATATAAGAATTTTGCACAACAGCATGTTAATTTCAATAGACATTTCGTTTCTTTACAGTCCGCACTGAATGTAATGACGATTAGTTTCTTTAAAATTAGGGGGCGATTTTTTAAGACTAAAAAAAAAATTTACTATTAGAATGCCTTTAAGTAGGGCATCCCTAAAAAATTGCATTTTTTATTCCATGCCAATGCAGATTTGAAATGCAATTTGACATGTTAAAAATCATGATAACTTTACTGGGCAGATTCATGATCGACTATGTTATTGTTGTTTTCAATGGAGATACATTTCGAGAGTTTCATCGAAATGCCATGATTTTTTTTACATCAGTCTTTTTAAAAGGAAGCCAATTATATGGTAAAATTTTTCCGCCATTATTTTCCAACAAATAATTCTTCGGTTGATGAATGGGCACAAATATTATTCATTTGGGATATTTTTTAAGTGATCCGTCATCCTAAACAGGAAAGTGACATGGAACTTGTTCAAAACTTCTTCGAACTTAATGTCTTTAATCCAAGTGTTTTTGGCATTGACCATAACCTAGCATTTATTTGTATACTTTGTGTGTACAATATAGAAAATAAAATTTAAAATGGTTACATGAAATTGAAATTACTTAAAATGTTTAATATTTAGTGTATTTTTTCATTTCCTTTTTGATTTCTTGTTATATTACGTTTAATGGCTTCATTATTTTTTAGGTGTTTACCTTTGCCATTTTCAGCGATTAATCGATAACTAATATAGGCTACAGCTACAATAACTGCCAGAATGAATGCAAGAAAAGTTAAGACGCAGAAAATCGGAAAAAATATTATTGCAGCTATTCCTCCACCAACTATTTCAACTACAAACATTACAATTCCAACAATACCAAACACAAGCATCGCAGAGCCGATAATCCATCCACCTAAAATACAAATTGGAATTGAACTGAATGCTGCGAGAATATAAGTGCATAATCTTAATAGCCAATTTTTGTCCCAGATCTCTTTTATCGGAGAGACAGGAGATAAAGCTGCTTTTGCTCTTTCTTTTGCCGCATTATGTTTTGAGGATTGCAAATATGCAGCCTGATGCGGAGGTTTAAGTTCTTTTTTTTGTGTTTTTGGTTGTTCTCTCTCTTGCTGTAGTATTTGTGGTGATGGTGGTTCTTGTTCTTGCTGTAGTATTTGTGGTGATGGTGGTTGTTCTTGCTGTGGTATTTGTGGTGATGGTGGTTCTTGTTCTTGCTGTGGTATTTGTGGTGATGGTGGTTCTTGTTCTTGCTGTGGTTTTTGTGGGATTGACTCAATTGTTGAATGTGGAGTTTCTTCGGTAGATGCAGTGACGAACTTTAATGGCGTAGGCGCAACTTGCGTATAAGGCTCTTCAGGAGGCGTTACTTGAGCTTTTAGAGTTTCGGATTGAGAAATTGGAACTTGAGATGGAACTGTCGTATCTTTGGTTGTCGGCTCTTTTAAAGGGGCTACACCAACATCTTCATTTGTCCTCGAAATCTCTGGCGTCTGACGATCAGGTGTGTCACTGATTTGTGGAGTGGTAACATTTTCAGCTGGTTCTGCTTTCGCAGTATCTGACATTTCTTCATTCGGTCCAGATGTGAAGCTTATTTCTTTTGAGGGTAAATTATTTTCCGCCGGTGGTGTCGGTTCCGCAGAATCGGTTTTATGGACTTCTTTGGCATCGTCCTGTGGAACACTTGTTTCTTGTTCTGATTCTTTTGTTACGTCTCCCTGCATTTCTAATGGTTCACCTCTTGTTGGAGGAATTGGAGTGGGGGCATCTTGTTTTTCTAAAGATGGAGAAGCTTGTATAGTTGGTCCTTGTTCTTTTTTGATTGAGGCTGAGTGAGGAGCTGTTGCTTCATGTTCTTCTGTGGTTTCGGTTGGATGAGCTGATATTTCTTCATGTTCTTTGTTTATATCAGGTGTTGTTTCTTCATGCTCTTCTGGGCGTTCAGCAAACGAGACAGTTGAACTACTTCTTGTTGGACTACTCGTTTCTTCGGCTGTACTTTTGCGCTTGAATATTTTTGTTGTAAAAGTTTTAAGAGGTGATGGTGATGCTGGTGGTTTTGTTTCGCTCATTTTATACGTAGTGTTGTAACATATACTACTATTAAACCAACAAAGTTTCAAAAGTGATTTCCGTTCCGTTATAAATGATTTTTCTAAGGATGATAAAATTCAAAAGTAGTACATCATAATTACGTATTAGATATTTATTTTTCTCACATTAACGCTGAAAAGTTGGGCGTATATTATGTCTGTAGATCGTCTTATCAGATTTGCAATCAATCTAATCAATCTGAAAATCTTAGACGTACATATGTCGTTCATTGCAAAAAGCCAGTTATTTAGAGCTTGGAGCTTGGATATATAAAACATTCTTGGAACTAAACTAAATAACATGGAATTGAAAGAATAGAAATGATTTTTATAGGCCATACAAAATTAATTTTTTGGTTCTCATAACATAAAAATTTTAAAAGTGATCCAATTTTTACGTATAAAATTTTTTGCGAAAATTGACCCCGGCGGGTTATGATTTACTTTACTTGGCCTTAGTAATAATAATGCGTTAATTCAACCGCCTTTATATTTAAATTCGTTATAGTTGTTTTTGTTCTTAATTACAGTAAATACGGTTTAATACTAATAATTGATTTAAAATAATAACTAAGTGAGAGCAATAATATTAATATTTATTATTAATAATAGATTGATCCCAGAAATGAAAATTGCAAATATAAAAAAATCAATAATCCACATCCATTTTATCTTCACGAGCAATTTCATTGACTTCAACAGGCTGCAATTTTGCCTCATTCGTGAAACTTAAATCTGACACAACTGGTAATGCTTGAATTGCGACCGGCTGTTGAGTTTTGGCCGAATTATAATCAACACCTGCATTTTGCGCTACTCCAGCAACAGCTGTAGCTGGAGGGGCTGTTATTTGCTTATTCGCAGTAACTGGGAAAAAATGTGAATGTTCCGGCGCAACTAGTGGATTAGTAGCGATTATTTGATCTGAAGGGTTGACAATAGATACAAACGGTTGTATTTTTTCAGGAACTAATAAAATTGGATTAAATGAATTATCAGTAGAGGAGGTGGATGATTCTGTACAAACCTGAGACTGGAACAGCAGGTGCAGTAAATTGTGCAGTATTCGGGTTTTCGGTATACGGTAAAAGTGGTGAATTGACAAAAACAGAATTATAAAGCGGCTGAGGTCTAAATTGCTGAATAGGATCTTTTGACTGGAATTTATCTGGTTCATAAAGGTCGCCTTTTATATTGGCAGAAATCTTGACCAGGTCGTCATTTTGATTCTTTTTGGGATTTCTTTGATCTTGATCATCAGACGGGTGAATTGGGACACGATGTGTTTGTTCTTTGTCATTAGGATTGAGATTATTTTTTTGAGATTGTGATGTATTTTTATGTCCTTCGACCGCGCTATGATTCTTGTCATTCTCAGCAGATTTATTGTTGTTTTTGTTGTTGTCTTTGTTGTTGTCGTCTTCGTTGCCTTTTTTGCTGTTGTTGCTACTATTTTTTTCTTCTATTAAAATTGCTCGTTTTGGTGGGTCGGAAGGATGATTTGTGTCAATTAAAAGGTATTCATTTGGTTTATTCCCTTCTAATTGTATTTTTGTGTCTTCGATTCTAAAAAGGTGTGTGGCCATATTTTTATTTTTATTTTTATTTTTTAGGATAAAATAACGTACATTCAGTTGTTAATTAATGCTTTAATAATTGATTGTATGATTTACGCTTCTATTTATATGCAGTAGTCCTGAAAAATATTGCTAATTTATGCAATATGATGTATTAGATGATGTTTATCATGAACTCAGTTTTACATTATTGAAATTTCTGTTCTATTATTATATTGTAACTAATCTGTGATATATGCTTGGATCCGATTGATATTACCTTCAAACACATTTCTCTTCCATTTATTTTTCATATTTTGTATTATTTCAATCGTGTGCGCTAACACCTCCAGATCTTGTTCAGTTACAACTTTTCCGCGAATCATCTTTCCAAATGATTCCTTGATACGAATCAAATCTTTCCTACTGTTGTCTACAAATTTCATAATATTTTTCGATTGCGTTTTGAATATCAACACTCCTCTTATTCCAGTTCTCAATTCCTCGATTCCTAGCTGAATGTCCGAAATCTCAAAAAATCTATTCAACTCCTCTCGATTTATCTTAAAATGATCTTCTACTTTCGAAAACCCGCCTTTTTCATCAGTCTCGTGACTTTCAATTCTTGTTTGATACAGTTCTTCAAACTCATCTAATGCATTAACAACATCTTTAGCACGATCGCGTAAATCAGTGACAAGATCGAGGATTGTGTTCATTCGTGATAAGATAAATGATTTTTTTGTGGAGCCCGAACGTAGAATGTCGTTTGCTTGCAGGTTTTGATAGATCGTTGTAAACTCAATTTCAATTTCTTTGAAAAAGAATTTGCCAGTATTTTGCATTTTTTCGGTGAATGTGCCAAGGATGAATAACAAGTTTCCAATGTGTTTGAGATATTGTGCGATTTCGGGGGAATTTATGGGAGGAGACCGTGTAATTATGTTAGCAAGAAAATGAGCGGGCACGCGTAAATTGGTGATAGCAGTTGATTCTGAGGACAATATTGGTACATTAGGAAAGAAAATTTAGGAGTATTAGAACGTGAGCATATAAAAACTTTTACCTTTAATAGAGAGATTCGAAATTTGATTGACGAGTACTACTGTTGAATTCCCTAAATCACGGAAAACTGGATCGTCTATTGACTATTAAAAAAAAATTAATATATGTATAGTGAAAGACTATAGAATGATGTGGTATAAGGTAATCATACCGGCATCAACCAGTAAAACGAATTTTCCCACAGCAAACATAACTCATGAAAATAATGGGCTGCTAATAGAATACAAATTGCGAAGGAAAATCTACAAAAACAATTTCTTTAGGTTTTGAATTTAATTATCATAATAAATCATTCCTTAACATCAAATCTTACATTTTAAGCATTGATTATCGTAAAACGAAAAGGTAATAATGACGGATTTTTGAGAAGACAAAGACGACAAGAATTATTTCTGCAATGATTTTTTTGTTGAATAGCTGTCCATAAAAATAATTGTTTTCCTTGAAATAATTTTCCACTTTTGGTAAAGCTTGAGACGTAATAATAACGTCGGTGAGAAAATTACGTCAGATCGATCATTGTTTAGACATGAGATTTGGATGAACATTTGATAGATGATTTCGAATAGCAGTTTTTAAATAAAACGCACATATTCTTATTTTTTCTCTTTATTACAGTTAAGAAATGGCTCAAGTATTAGAAGTAAAAGAAATTCAAGAAGAAAACAGATTAGATAAACAAAGTAATGCGATTATTTTATTTATTTCTATTATAAATTCTATATTAAAATTTTATTTTGATTTCTAAAAGGTGAAGACGCGTCATTTCCCCACCGAGTCTCAGAATTTTTTCGCGAAATATTTTTCACTTTATTGCGAATTATATGGGCAACATTAAAACTTCTTTTTAGTCGTATTTTGGCAGTAAATATGCTTATTTTAAGAAAGATCGAGGCGGTGTTTTGTTATTCATGGAAAAAAGTTTATGCTGCATTTGAGTTTCTATTACGAGGATTTCATTTCTGGTGCACCAAAAATAAAGCTAAGCTCTCGCTCGCTGCTGTGTCGTTTCTATTAGGATATGGATTTTATTTCGTATGTTGAACATCACTGTTTTTTGTGTCCGTCGATATTCATGATGTACTAATCAAATTTTAATAGGGTATAAAATATCAAGAATATATACAAGAGACTGCATTCAAGTACTTTGTGGGTGCAACAAATTCGACGAATAAAAATTTATTTGATCTAGGTTTTCCAGGTATTCTATTCTTTACAATATCATTTGATGATACAATCCCTCCTATCCTTTTAACATAATGGTTTTTCAAAGAAACATCGGCGTATACTCAACACTTGGTCGTATTATATGATCTTGCTGACACTTTAAGACAAAGCCACGAGGTTCAACAAAATGGTCTGCTTATCTCCGGTTGCCTTAACGGTTTAGCCGAGGATATTAAAGTTGCTGAAGAAGATATAAACGACTTTCGACGCAAATCATCAGAAGCCATTATTAATTTACAATTTAAAATGTCATTAATCTACGACGTATTAGATGCTGACAAATCATCGGATGAAGATGAAAACTTCTATTTCTACGACACATATATTCCCGACCTTCTCGTTGACCAATTTTATAAGATGTTCACGTATTGGAATGATCAAAATTTCTCGGGATTCATTCAACGGCAATTAAAATTTCTGGAACTCGTCTTTCGAGACTTCAAAGGACAATTAAACAAGATGATTAGTTCTTTGAGTAAGGTTAAACTTGATGCTAGGAATCTTTCCTTTTATTTGCTAGATGCTGAAAGAGAAGCTGAGAGAGCAATTAAAAACTATTGGGCTGAAAGATTCATTGATTATGGCAAAATAATCAGGGCAGAAAAGGAATTAATACAAGTTCGCCAAATGAAAAAATTCATTAAGTCATTAGTTGCAAATTTGAATGAGTTTGATCACTACCTGAGAGATTATCAACGCAAGTTATTCGATGTCGAGACAGACATAGTTTATACACGTGCTTTGAAAAAGCCATCAAAAGTGTTGCTCAATTACTTGAAAACTTCCGCGAATCAATTCCAGAAAACACATCGATTATTTGATACCATCGAAAAGAAAATAGGTGCTGGTCAGTCAACATCCTTAAAAAATGCAACAGCTTTAGAATACGAAGAATTATACGAGACGAACAACCACCAGTCTAAATTGCGGACACTAATTCCTCAACAAAAGATTAACGCAAGTTTATCATACATACCTCCGTATCCGGATTTAATTTATTAATGTTTCCATAAAGGAGTGTAAAATAATTCATAATGTAAAGCCGATTCTATTTAATCGATCATAAAGTTTGTATAGCATTTCCGATTTTTCCGAAAATTAATCCTGTTAAGAAAATTGTATAAAATTCAAACCTCCACGTGATACAAATCACAAATCTTTGAAATAGAAATTGATGTGTATATAATAATGACTCTTGAATAACAAGGAGGAGCTAATATTCGAGGAATATGCATTTCCTGCATGATCATTGTATTACCAAAGCTCCATCAAGCAATGCTCGAAGGAAGATCTCCCGAGCGCCATTTTTCATTATAGTCCCACAATTTTTGACAATTGTACACTTTAGACCCTCCGATTCTTTGAATATTACCACACCTACTACTAGTTTTGGATGTAAAAGCTTCATTTTGAATGATAATATGAACACCCAATTCTGGTTTGGTGGTTAGACGTCGGTGAAAGCGGTAATATTGCTAATAAAGCAATTTCGAACAGTTTTCGTATGACTTTTCTTCACTATATTTGGTACTTCAAAACCAACAAGATACGACGGGGTTTACGACAGATTTAATATGATCAAAGTAATTGACTTTTAAGACCTTGCCAGAGCTTCTTTTGTTCTTTTGGATCATGAATTTCAATTTGCAAACGTGAAATTTTACGTCGCACTCGAAAAGTTGCATTATTAATTCTTTTTCCTTTCGCTTGCGACCAATTGGTCTTTTTTTTTTGAAATAAGATTGTCCATATATATGTTTAGGTGATTTGTCCAATATCATATTCTCCAATTTTACCAGCACCTAGAGACTGCATTTAGAGCTATCCGCTTTGGTTTCGCAGACTTGTATTTCATATAAATAATCCTACCTATAACGATGATGTGTATAAGTAGGTGTATAAAAGCGATTCCAGATAGGCTTTGAAAGTTTTTGTGCGCGTTTGATGTAAATCTTTCCGAAATCGAAATGAAAGAGTATGCGATTTTAAGCCTGTATTACACTTAATAACTTTGGCAAACTAATGCCTCATCGATAGACTCATCAATGTTATCAGGTGCTATTCCGTGTGTGCCCCGAAATAGCATATCAAGACGAACAACAACTCATGAAAACTTGCATTCGTCACATACTGCGGCTTTTTGGAAATTCACTACTTTATGAGTATGGATGGATACACTTTGATTAATAGCGTGCGATTGAGCGTATTTTCCGTTTTCTGAAGCTTGCAACGAGCTATTATCGCTTTTTCTTGCGCTTCTTGCCTGTTTCGGCACCCTCGTCGATAATGGGCAACTCTTCTCCCCTGCATGCGGCAGTTGAAGACAGCGTTGAAGGCAAATACATCTTCGGCAAGTTCGTATTTGTCAGAAGTCGACTCGTCGAAGATAATCACGTGGTTTGTAGCATTGAGGGGAGAATACGAGTAGGAGGTTGATGGCGAAACGACAGAGTAGTTAATGACAATCTCTGAGACAGTACCGCGGTTTGCTCATTCCAGTAAGGTCATAGGTCCTGGATTGAAGTTGATACCAGAGACAATGTTATTAATGAGCTCGTATGTCTGGAATTGGGTAAAGAGAAGTTGTTTTTATCGCTCGAGATCATCTTTCTGCTTCGCAATAGAGAACCGGGCGTAATCTTTTCTTGATAACAAAGGAGGTGGTGGTTAAGGTATCAGCATTTTGAAAAGTTAGTTCGGGAAAGGGAGTTGTTGTAGGGTCGTGTGTCAGATGTCTTTGTAGCAATCTTTTCTTGCCTAAGCTAATATCGGTGAAATGCCAAGTTTCTTAGTTATCTTGTGTGCAGAAGGGAAAGTAGAATATTGTTTTCACTCTATCTACTGGAATTTGAATGTAACGAGCACGAGGTAGGTGAATATTTCAGATGATAATGAAGAACCGACGAAGATAATTACACAGGAGAAGAATAAGGGCAATGAGACAAAGGGTGGCAATGTTTAGAAATCAAAATTACTAATACTTTAATTTTCCAGATTAAAGATAGTCGAAAACGGCGATCGCAGCAAACGGAACACATAGAAGTGAAGAAGCAAAGACCAAAAGGAAAACAGTAACTGTAAAGATAATAAAACGAGAACGACGAGATCAAGAAACAAGGAAAAAGGTAAGTAATTTAGAAGTTAAAATACTATTAACAGAGAAACAACAATAAGGTAGAGAAATAAGAAAAAAGTAACTTTATTATCACCTTTTAACAAATAGTCGTCGATGGCAAAAGAGGAAAGGGGGGAACACAAGCACAATGAGACGAACAAAAAATAAGTTAACTGTAACGGTAATGTTACAAGCCAGTCTTGAGCATGATAAAAAACACCTCATAAATGATATAAATGAATAAATAGCTGCTTACCTACGTAGTACTGTTCTGAATATTAAATTTTCACTTTTTGATGATACAATAATAAAAGAAAACGCATAATCAATAAGCAATTATATATTCTTGGGTTTCGTCCGAGCTTATGGGACTCATCAGTTGGCTTTTGCGAAAGCTTCGCATTAGAGCAATGCCAATACCCAAGAAATCCTTACTTAGAAAATTCTAATTAGGAATTTCTGAAGTAATTGATAATAGAAAGAAAATCAACAAAAAATATAAAATCCACTTGTCTCTTTCCACGACTTTCCCATATTCCCATCATTGTCTCGATCCAAAGTCTCCGGGATACACAACGCCTTCTCCACCAGGCTTCTTCCGTAGCGTGACGAGGAGTTGTTCAAGCCGGCTTGCTTCCGAAATCCTATATTGCATCTAAAACGAAAAAAAGGCAAAATTTATTTATTTATTTATTGGTTTAATACTTATTCTGCAGCCAATAATCCAAAGCCTCCGAAGATCACAACGCCATCTCCACCAAGCTCGTATCCATCGCGTGGTGGCGGTTGCTCAAGCCGGCTTGCTTCCGTAAACCTTAAGCTAATGCGTAGAAAATAAACAAGTCGTGAGCAGCAAGCAACATGACAACAATACAAGCTTTTACCTCCGTTCCGAACCGTTCTAAAGTCAAACAAGTTACACACAATCACCGTTCTACGAAGAAGACAAACAAGTTAAACACAACCACCGTTCTACGAAAAAGTCAAGCAAGTTAAATACAACACCGTTCTACGTAGTAGTTAAGCAAGTTACACACAACCACCATTCTACGAAGTCACGCAGTTTAACACGATATGCCGTTCTAAAAAGTCAAGCACAAGAAATACTAGCGTCGTATCCGTTCCAAGCAGTCGTCGTGTCCGTGTCGTTAAGCAAAGCAACAATAAAAAGTTAAACAAAAAAAATAAAATAAAAAATTAGAAAAAAATAAAAATGAAAATTAGAAAAAAAATAAAAAGCTTGCTTTCTTTTTTCTTTTTATAGTTGAATTGTATATATATGACTAATTTTGTCTTATGGTTTAAGATTCAATGACGATATTGATATCATAATAAGCCGTGAGGCGCGCTTGTTTATTATCGTTATGCGCTGATTTTATCTAGCTTTACCCACATCGTGGGAATAAGCTCAAGAGCAGAAAAAAATTTACCATATGAACACACACACAATTAAATTAGTACGGAAAAATCACACGAAAACTGTTCAAAAATTGCTTTCACAACGTCTAATCACCAAACCAGAAGAATTGAGTGTTCATATTATCATTCGAAATGAAGCTTTTATGTCCAAGACGTGGTAAAATTCAAAGAATTGGAGAGTCTAAAGTGTACAATTATCAAAAATTGTGGGGTTATAATGAAAGCAGCACAATATTAGCTCCCCCTTGTTATTCAAGAGTCATTATTATATACACAACAATTTCAGATTTTGTGATTTGTATCACGTGGAGGTTTGAATTTTATACAATTTTCTTAACAGGATTAAGTTTCTACAAATTTTATGATCGATTAATACATCATGTTTATGGAAACATCAATAAATTAAATCCGGATAAGGAGGTATGTATGATAAACTTGCGTATAATTCTTCGTATTCTAAAGCTATTGTAGTTTTTAATGATGTTAACTGACTAGCGCCTATTTTCTTCTCGACGGTATCAAATAATCGATGTGTTTTCTAGAATTGATCCGCGGAAGTTTTCAAGCAATTAAGCAACACTTTTGATGGCTTTTTCAAGCACGTGTATAAACGACGTTTGTCTCTATATCGAATAACTTACGTTGATAATCTCTCAGGTAGTGATCAAACTCATTCAAATTTGCCACTAATGACTTAATGAATTTTTTCTCCTCAACTGTTGCAACAGTTGCGCACCCATCACTGCTCGAAAGACGAGTTCCAGAAATTTTAATTGCCGTTGAATGAACCCCGAGAAATTTTGATCATCATTCCAATACGTGAACATTTTATAAAATTGGTCAACGAGAAGGTCGGGAATATATGTGTCGTAAAAATATAAGTTCTCGCCTTCATCCGATGAGTTTTCAGCATCTAATACGTCGTAGATTAATGACATTTTAAATTGTAAATTAATAAAGGCTTCTGATGATTTGTGTCGAAAGTCGTTTATATCTTCAGCAACTTTAATATCCTCAGCTAAACCGTTAAGGCAACCGGAGATAAGCAGACCATTGTGTTGAACCTCGTGGCTTTATCTTAAAGTGTCAGCAAGATCATATAATACGACCAAGTGTTGAGTATACGCCGATGTTTCTTTAAAAAACCATTTTGTTAAAAGCTGATAGGAGGGATTGTATCATCAAATGAATAGAATACCTGAAAAACTAGATCAAATAAATTTTTATTCGTCGAATTCGTTGCAGTCTCTTGATATTTTATATCCTATTGAACTTTGATAAGTATGCATGTAATATCGATATCGACGGCCACAAAAAACCAGTGATGTTCAACATACGAAATAAAAATCCAAATCCTAATAGAAACAACACAGCAGCGAGCGAGAGCTTAGCTTTATTTTTGGTGCATCAGAAATGAAATCCTCGTAATAGAAACTCAAATGCAGCATAAGCTTTTCTCCATGAATAACAAAACACCGCCTCGATCTTTCTTAAAATAAGCATATTTACTGCCAAAATACAACTAAAAGGAAGTTTTAATATTACCCATATGATTCACAATAAAGTGAAAAATATTTCACGAAAAATTTTGAGATCCGGTGGGGGAAATGAAGCGTCTTCACCTTTTGTAAATTAAAATAAAATTTTAGTATAGATTTATAATAGAAATACATAATAATCGCATTACTTTGTTTATCTAATCTATTTTCTTGAATTTCTTTTGCTTCTAATGCTTGAGCCATTTCTTAATGTAATAGAGAAAAATATGTGCGTAGGGAAAAATATGTGCGTAGGGAAAAATATGTGCGTAGAAAAATATGTGCATAGAGACAAATATGTGCATAGAGACAAATATGTGCGTAGAGAAGAATAAGTGCGTAGCTAGTGGTTAGAAGAAAAAGCAATTCTTTTATAGTTGCGATTCGTCATTAAAATATGTCACTATCAGTCATCTATCATGATAAGATACGCCTTTTCATTTAGTTTATCAATTATATATTATAAATATTTAATTTAATTGTGTGCACATATAATAAATTTTTGAGCTTATTCCAATAAAAACTGCACATAACGATAATAAACAAGCGCATCTGACTTCGAAATTTCCAACACTGGCTATCAATCATCATGATAAGATACGCCTCACGGCTTATTATGATGAAAATTATTTGTCATTAATCGAAAAAATAAGTTATATACAACATACACAATTCAAAAAAAAAACGTATCATTAAATATCATCAAAAATGCGTTTTTATTTAATTAATTATCAAATTATAAAGATTTTGATTTGATTTATGCTATATACATATGTTTTTTTATTGTTGATGGTGTGCGGATGGCTATGCAACCCATGCGCACGAAAAAATGTAATCACGAAAGCCTGATTAAGCCAGTCCCCGGATAACCAAGTTAACTTCATGATGGTGATGATAGTGATACTGTTACCATAGTAACAAATGTTTCTCTAATTCTTTAATCTTTCTTTGATTATGCAAAATTCCATTTTTCTCTATTTTTATAATTTATCACCTGATTACCCTTATTTTTATCCAATTGTATAATTATTTTATTTATTATATTAATCCCTTATATTCATATTTATACCCTAAACATTATATTTCATTTCATATTTATCCCCTAAATTTGAGATTTATATTTTTAATTACATGTATCACATTAATATTAACATTTTACATATATATTCATCAGAGTATACTTTATAGAGTAATTAGTTAATATAATTATAGATCTCTTCAATTATATTTCATTCTTCTAAAATATTTCATCCTTCTAAAATGTCTTTAATATTTCAGTCATAATATTTTAATCTTAATTACACAAAATCCTTGTTTTTTGTATAACAATTAGATTTCAGTCTATATAAATTTTTACAATTAAAATATTTTAACTCTAAAGTATATTAACATGTATAATTAGATATTATTAACTAATAATACTATAATAAATATATTCACAAAATATATAAAAGAACTTGCTCTCTTAGCTTGAAATAAATAGAGTTTTTGAATTGAATTATTTGGAAAATATAATTAAAAAGCTTGTTATCATAATAATAGTAATCTTTTAATTCCTTTTCTAATTATACTAGTACTCTTTTTCTCACTCAGTTTTATTCCTTTGATCTTATAAAGTTAATTTTAGTTTTATTATAATATTATATTAATTTTGATTTGAGATATTGATTATTTTTGAGAATAAAAGATCTTTATTATAAATAAACCATATTTTGATTTTATTTCTTTTGAAGAATAAAAAATCTCTACTATAAATAAGTTCTATTTTTTAGCTAGTTATTTATTTTATATTTTTGTTTATCTTGATTATTATTTCTTTAATTATAGTTTTCTTTGATTAATAATAGCTTCACTTATTAAATATTATAAATCTTTGATTATAATTGATTGATACTGATTTTACTTATTAATCTTTATAATTTTCTTGATTTAAATTATTTTTTTTATAATTTACTTTTTTAATGATAATATTAATACAGATCTTAAAAATCTTTGTCAATATTAAAATTATAATCTAATTCTCTCTTTCTTTATCCTTTAATTAATTCAGTTTCTTCCAATCCAATATTATTAAGATGAATTCAAGTAAAAATTCACTTACTAGATTTGTCATAATATATTCTTGATGCCTTTTCTGTAAAGAAAAATCTTTCAAATATCTCTTATTATATCTATATTCTTTTATATTCCTTTTTATACTCTTTATTTCTATTATTCAAGTAATTGATAACTAATTGTATCTTGAATTTTCATGATCACTTATTATTCTTTTATTGGATTATTTATTAATTATTATTTAAAAGCATATTAAAACTTTAACAATCCTATTAGAATATTTTCTTAACACTTTTGCTCTTATTATTATCTTCTTCAATTAAATTTTTCTTTATAATTTTGAACTTTTTGCTTGTTCATAAAAAATATTAGAGCAGTATCTATAAATCAAATCACATATTTATTATTTTACAAATTAATTTAACTTGATCTTAGTAAGATATATATTACTCATCTCAGATAAAAAATAGTATAATTAATAAATACTTTTATCTTTAATTATATAAATACTCAAGAAGAACTGATAGAATAATTTTACTAATAATTCATTTATCAAAACTTTACTTTACAAACTCAAGCAAGAACCTCTTTTAATATTAGTAATATTAATAAATATTATTCTAAAACTAAAAATTTAAAAGATATATCTATTTTTTCATTATAAGTAATAATAGTAAATCAGAAGAAAATAGTAATTACTCAGATTCAGATATAACTAATAATACTTATACTAACTTAGACAAAAATAATCAAGAAATTGAAAAAAAAGATAATCAAATAACTTAAAATAATAATAAAATTTGAATAACTTAATTGTAATTATTAAAGCTCTCACTAACAAATGACTAATTAAAATACTTAGCATATAAAAAAATTATTATTTTTATTAGAAAATATAGAGAAAATAATCAATATCTAACTGAATAGCTTAAAAATTTTAGTATTATCACTTAAGTTAATAGAATTATAGCTATTAGAAAAGTATAACTAGTTAAAGAATATCTAAAAGATGCTGTTATCTTGTAGTATAATTAAAAAAGTAGAGATAATAATATCTAACTAATTTTATAGAATAATATTAATAACTAGTTATTATTATAAACTATACTCTAAAAGATAGATTTTATTATGAATATAGTTTATAATAAGTTTTGAGAGTGAAGACTGAATTATTTATAAAAATTAAGAGGATAATAATTATTCTAAAGATTTCCTAGTACTAATACTTATGAGTATTATATTAACACAAGACAAAAATAAAATAAAATAAAAATATAAAAATAAAGTTGTGATCACAAAAACTAAACTAAGAGAAGATACCTAAAATAAAATAATAAATATTATAACTAAAATAAAAAATTTAGTATGCTGACTAAACTTTCTAACAGTATCTTTTCAACTATTAGGTAAACAAAAGATATATATCAAAATAAAATAAAGCTTTTATATGTGAGAAAGCTTACAAGAATTTTCTTAATCGAATAAAATATACTTGACTTATTTTAAGTGAAGAGCATCTATTATCTAAGTTTTTTAGATAAGAAAAACTTGTAAATAATCAGAATATAATCTATTATAATAGAAGAGATAAATAAAAGCAAATTATCAAGACAAAAATCAAAGAAAAATTACAAGA